TTATGACTACGGCAATTTTGGCAACGACCCAGGGTGCTTGGTGAAGAACGAGAGGATTGATTTCTGGTGGGTCGCGGTGTTCATGTGCGCGGTGGGACGGAGTCGCCAAAATAAATTAATTACGATTTTGACTTCCGTTTATTCGAGACCCCGGGGTCCCGCCATAAGGTTAATTAGTGTAGTGAGTTGATTGGTCTCAGCCTTGTCACCAGTGACAGCACACGTAAAAAAAAATCACAGAATTTGGTTTCCAAATGTCCATATGCTACGAGAACTAACAAAGTCGTGACAGATAAATACAGGCAGACATGTGGGTATGGACTCTGCAGTCCTACACGTGGATATTTGTGGGCAGTGCAGTAAGTGACACCCAGAGGGGGGAGATGGGGGAGTCACTTTGAGGGCTCCCCGCCCCCCCCCCCCCCCCACAAAATTATTTTAATGACATAACAACAACACGTTCGTTTACACCAGGGATCGGCGACCAAAATAACAAGGGCCATACTCTTTGGTCACGTACGTGACTTTACCGAAAGAACCTAGGAGTATGGATTCCTGCAGTCACGAAAGCTTCAAATCAAGAAGGGCCATGTTTTCCAATTCGGTAAAAAACAACCTCAATATTTCAAGAGCCACAATGCACGTTGATACGAGACGGTGGTGGGGGGGGGGGATCCTTAATAATCGACGTCACGAAGCGGTCCTTAAAGAGCCGCAGGTTGCCGACGCCTGGCATTGTAAACATTGCTCAAAAAGGAGACAAACATATAATAGATGACGTTTTGGGGAATGGCCCGTATACATGGCAGAGACGAACAAAAGACACGGCCTTTTATATTTCAGTTTGACTATTATTGACGAATGTTGACAATTTTAATCCCACATCAGGTTAAATGAACTGGCTTATCCTGGAGACGAATGGACTCATCAGCAGGGGGCATTATACATCCCTGTTGCGTACCGTATATGGCAAGCATGTTTTCTTTTACCTGTGGGATTTTTGTCTGTTGACCCTGCACGTGAGCTAACTCAAAAGTCGCGAACTTTACTAGATTGAGACGTTCCTTTAAAATGTCAAAATGAATACTAAAATTGGACCTTTTTGCCAGTATCAAAGCATGAAAAAATAAGAATAGGTTTTACCCTTTCTGGCAATAAAACAGGCGTTCAGGAGTTAAAACACCAAAAAGAAACCTTTTGCATTACTTGTGGTGAAGAAGCAAACAAACATGCACTGATAATATACTTGCATTGTCTTTGAAACTTATTAGTCTACACCAAAGACAGCTTTCCTTAGGATCCAGTCTCAAAATACTGGCTCAAAAAGTCCCATTTTGTAGCTGCTCACCCCGAGGTATAAATGACCTGATAGTGGCATTGTCTTTGTGCTGTTCGCCTTTCGGCGTTCTCTGGTCTGACACTGGTGAGACTAGGCCCTAAAGAAGGCTGTCTCTCTGGTGTAGACCAATCAGTTTCAAAGACAATACCGTAATAAAGGTCGCAAGATCAATTAGATCTTCTGGCGTGGCAGTGAAATTAATTTGGAAAGTCTCTTAAGGCACCCGCATCCCACCACGGAGTCCACCTCGTAATGGGTAACAACACCAGTTAGGTCCACGGGCAGGTTGCGGGTGGTGGGATAAAGCGTGGGTAACTCCCACCACCTCTTCTTCCAAGACGTCTAGCCAACGCAGAAGAGGACTCACGACCCTCGAAATGCATTCCCAATAGGGCTGAACGATTAATCGATTTCAAATCGAAATTTGAAACAATGCGATTAGCAAATCGCAAAGGCTGCGATTTTACGATTTGAAAAGTCCTATTGCTTATTGGAATAGTTTTAGTGTTTATTATAACTTTCTTTATTTAACTAAACAATTGTTCTATGTTTGATTGTTCTGTTTAAATTAAAACATTTTAATAAATACATGTTGGAAGCAATTAATATATTTTAAGTTCTCCTCCTTGCATTAGAATATAGAGCAGTTCGTATTTTGATGGTATCACGTGGTAATGCTCCATCACATGTTGTAAATCTATTACACAGTGAATATTGTACTGAAGCTTCACTCAAAAAAATGTAATCGCAAATCAAATCGCAATATTTATCAGAAAAATCACAATGAGATATTTTGCCCGAATCGTGCAGCTCTAGTTCCCAAGCAGGGGCAGCAACTTGCCCATTCCGGATTCGCGTGCGGCTCTTTGGCGTCCCCTTTGCGACTACGTTTTAAACCAACGACACCCATACATCTTAAACATAATTTAACGTGAAGATCATTGAATTGATATGGCACGGAATGGGTGACTATGGAATGTCTTGGTGACGACAAAATGTACAACAGCCAAACTGGATTGTGAAAGAATAACTAAGCGAAGGGGGGGGGGACTAAATAGACGCAGTTTATTCCATCACCTCCTTAGTTTATTTAAGTCAGAGACTGTGCGTTGTTGTCATCTGCTGTATACCACTGCAGCACTGCTGCTGTTTGTGCACAAGTAGCTCCGCGTGTGATGCGGCCCTCGAACAGTTTTGATCGAAGACAAAAACGAAACAAAAATGCCTTCTCCTCTTCGAAAGTTTTGCCGATCCCTGTTCCAGCGGATGCCCAGCCGCCAGCAGTTGGCGTGAGGACATTCCGGGGCTGCACCTTCTACCGTAGACATACATCACGGCTAAAGCACTCCTGACGTGATGGTGGTTTCCGCATGCGCCGTGTGGGTGAGGTGCTTGGAAGAGCAGCTCTGGTGACAGAGTTGGGGATGTGGAAGGGGGCTGGAGGAATGGAGGTGGTGGGCGGTAGGGGATGTGAGTGGGAGGTTGGATGGACGGGGAAGTTGCGAGTGTTGTGAGTGAGTGGTGGGTGGGTGAGCTGGGCGAGTGGAGATGGTGTGTGTCTGTGTTCAGTGCCGGATTATCAATTCCGGTTCAGTGATTCTGCACTTGCTCTATCACTACAGTACTATACCGCCTTCAACTTTTACGAACGACTGGGTTGTTTAAGGTTAGCGATTTGTCGTATTATCTGGCTGTATAGCAAATAAAAAAAATACAATTACATTACTATCCAAGTAAAAAAATACGTGTTTTCATGTGTGTGTTTTTTTTCTTTTAAAAATTTAGGGCTCTTTTATAACATTATGCTGGAGGCCCCCGCACGAGCTTACTCCGGGAACTGTCCGTGTTGTGTGATGAGTGACGGCATGCGGGGCTTGTTCCTGGCCAATATAAAATCCTGTGCTGTGCCCCAGCCACGTGTCAACTCCCCTACAAGCCGCGAGCTCCTGCCGGGTCTGCGTTGCGTCCCTATGTGGCGCTGCTTGCGCGTCTGGCGTTGCGCCGTTCATGTTCAGTGTGTTGATGTACGTGTTCACATCTAGGACGTACGTGTTTTTGAACTTCCTTCGCACCGTACGTAGCCGAGCGTGCTAATCGAAGGCGTGTGCAGCTTCGTAGTAGCCCCCCGCACGGGCTACGAATCCGGCGACCCGAGTTCGATTCCCGCTCGCGGCCAACAGCAGTGACGAATGAGGTGCGATGTATGAACGTCGCCACGAGGGAAGACAAAGGCGGCCGGGCGTGGTTGTTGGCCACCCACCCCCTCGTGCGTCGTGCCCGCCTTCATAGGCGCTGCTCCTCGCTAACAGCACTTGCCCCTACAGTCTGTTAAGGCTACACGGGGGATCTTTGTCGCATTGTGTGTGTACGTGTGGGTGCTGTGCGTTTGTGTTGTTACTGAGACCACTCATCTCAGTCAACCCATGGCGCCTGGGTCTGTTCCCTCACCTGCCAGCGAGTCCTCGACACGACACGTGGCCTCCAAGTGCACCTAGCCAGGCACAAGCGCCGTGGTGACATCGCCGCCACTTGGTGGCGAACGGCGGTTGCTGTTTGTTGAGCACAGGCACAAAACGTGCGGCGGTCAGCAACAAACAGCACTACGTATCGAATGAGTTTCGGATGAGAGACGAGGATAGGAGGGCATTCCAAAGTCGGGCAGTGTGAGTCAAGAGGCACACAGAGAGTTGTGTTGGTTTGTGTGTTGGTGTGTGTTGGTTCGTGTGTGTTGGTTCGTGTGTGTTGGTTCGTGTGTTGGTTCGTGTGTGTTGGTTCGTGTGTGTTGGTTCGTGTGTTGGTTCGTGTGTGTTGGTTCGTGTGTATTGGTATGTGTGTGTTGGTGTGTGTATATTGGTTTGTGTGTGTTGGTTTGTGTGTGTTGGTTTGTGTGTATTGGTGTGTGTGTGTTGGTGTGTGTATATTGGTTTGTGTGTTGGTTTGTGTGTCGGTGTGTGTGTGTTGGTACGTGTGTTGTCCAGTTGTGTGGACAGTATCGGCTGGGGTGTGTTGCTTGATGTGTATAACTGTGTAGTGGTGTGTGTGGGTTTGAGTGTGCCTGTGTTTGTGTGTATGTAATGTGTTATCAGTACGCGTGAATTGTTCATGTATTATCCAGCAGCATTTGTTTAAGGAAGCAAACTCTGGACAGGGTTTGGACATTTTCGGTTTCATCAGCAGAGGCAGGCCGACTAAGCATGCTGCTCGATGGCCTTTTGTTATTGGTAAGGGCACTCCTAAGATAACAAGATACTTGGTGGTGCTGTCACTATGTTGGCAGTGATACACCAGCACAAATCATAACAACACAAACTCAACACATTCGTCAATAACACTGTGGCCTTCATATGAATATGTACTGTAATGGGACGACGTTTCGGCCAACGGCCCTTCTTCATAGCAAACCGAGCGCGTGACCCCGTTCAACGAAAAACAGAAACGCACTCCAACAAGATGTGGAATCTGCCCGGATTCTAAATCACTTCACCACCCCCATCCGCTCTCCCTTCCTCTCCCCACCATCATCCCCAACCTCCGCCCCCCACACACACACACCACCTCCCCCCCATCTCCCCCCACCACCTCCCCTCCATCGCCCCCCACCACCATCTCCTCCTCCTCTCCCACCCCTCCCTCGACCATTTAGGTTTCTCTTCCCGGAAAGGCCGAACGTCAGTTTATGCAAATCCTTTCCGGAAAGTAAAGCAGCTCTCTCGCTCTCTTCTCCTCTCTCTACCCTCGTGTCCGACAATCATCCCTACTCCTCCTCTCTCTCCTCGCCTGTCTCCCCCCTCCTCCGTCTCCTCTCTCTCATCGCTCGGACGAAGGAGTTCTAGGAGGATCAGAGGAACGATTTGGAAAGGCGACTCCTTGTGCTGCCTCCCCCCCCGCTGCTGCCTCGGGTTTAGAAGGAAACTCTGGTTGGAGTGAACGGCCGCACGCAGCGCACGCTCGTGATCGTGACGATAGCGATTGTTTTCTGGGTTTACATCGTCTTCAAGTTGTCTTCTTCATCATCATCAAACTCATGATCGTCAACTAAAGTTACCATCATCTTTTATCACAATCATTCTTGAACTTACCAATCGCAACTCAGCAAACGTAGCCATCACCAAACGCAACAATCATCAAATCATCATACCAGTAATTAATCACCAATTAATCGTGAAAGCCATCATCATTAACAGGCATCACCCAAACTCAATATTAAAACATCGCCCGTCAATAACATTTCCGTATCATCATCATCACCGCCGTGGTTGGTGTCTTGCATCGAGAAGACGAAGAAGACTTGCAAGCCTCTTCGTATGCGAAGACTTCCCCAGTGTTTGTGTTCATGTCCTCGTCACACTAACGTCACCTGCACAGCCATGAGCGAGATCTCACCTGCCCAGCACATCATCAAGGTAAGCGCACGTGTGATGTGTGTGGTGTGTGTGATGTGTGTTATGTGTGTTGATGTGTGTGATGTGTGTGTGATGTGTGTGTGGTGTGTGTGTGATGTGTTGTGTGATGTATGTGATGTGTGTGTTGTGCGTGATGTGTGGTGTGTGATGTGTGTGTGGTGTGTGATGTGTGTGTGGTGTGTGATGTGTGTGGTGTGTGTGATGTGTTGTGTGTGTGTTGTGTGTGTGGTGTGTGTGATGTGTGGTGTGTGTGATGTGTGTGGTGTGTGTGTTGTGTGTGATGTGTGTGTTGTGTGTGTGGTGTGTGATGTGTGGTGTGTGATGTGTGTGGTGTGTGTTATGTGTGTGGTGTGTGTTATGTGTGTGATGTGTGTGATATGTGGTGTGTGTGATATGTGGTGTGTGTGATGTGTGTGTTGTGTGTGTGGTGTGTGTGTGATGTGTGGTGTGTGTGATGTGTGTGGTGTGTGTGATGTGTGTGTTGTGTGATGTGTGTGTTGTGTGATGTGTGTGGTGCCTGCCGATGTGTGATGTGCGTTAGTGGGGAGCGGTGGCGCATGGGTTAGCGCTGCGAACCCCAGGCCACCCGAGTTCGATCGACTCGGCCTCGAGTGAGTACCTGGTGCGGTGTGTGTAGTAAACATCGGTGCGGTGTGTGTAGTAAACATCGCCACTCGGGGGGGGGGGGGGGGGGGGGAGACAAAGGCGGCCGGGAGTGGTTGCTGGCCACCCACTCGCCCTCGTGTTGTTGTGGCAAGTTGCTATCGGCGAGCACGTGGTGACAGGCCGAAAGGGTGGCCAACACCACACGGGTTGTTGCCTTCGTCTCCCTGGTGGCGACGTTTGCACATCGCCCCACGGAACGCGTTTGAGGCCGAGTCGACCTAGGGGAGGACTGGATTCGATTACAGTACAGTACTGCCTGGACGCCGGCGTGCTAACCACTGCGCCACCGCTCCCCCACATTTTCTCACAACAACCTACACACGCCACACACAACTTAGTTGAACGCACACGCGTGTAACGCACGCGCACACGCGTGTAACGCAAACGCGTGTAACGCACGCGCACAGCGACCCCCACGTGCAGCCTACACACTTCTGTCGGGGCAAATGCTGTTGGCGTGCGCCTATGAAGGCCGGAAACGGTGTGGCGAGGAAGGTGATGTTGTGGTCAGCACCACCCCAGCCCCTGTACCCCACCCACCCAACACCGCGGTACACACATAGCTACAGGTATACACACCACTACAGGTACACACACAGCTACAGGTACACACACCGCTACAGGTACACACCGCTACAGGTACACACACCGCTACGGGTACACACACCGCTACGGGTACACACACAGCTACGGGTACACACACCGCTACAGGTACACACACAGCTACAGGTACACACCACCACTACAGGTACACACACAGCTACAGGTACACACACCGCTACAGGTACACACACAGCTACAGGTACACACCACTACAGGTACACACAGCTACAGGTACACACACCGCTACAGGTACACACCGCTACAGGTACACACCACTACACCCATTTAATGCCGAGTCGACCTAGGGGTGAGACTACGGCATACGACACGGGCAGCTGCTTTACTGCGTGGTGTGCTGGAAGCGAGGGCTGTGATATCGACGCCAATGCCACAATGCTGGCAGCAACTCGAGATTCAATTTGATATAATCACAACAGTGTACCTACTACTATAAGCACACACGCACGCACACGCACTCGACCACATTTAGCCGAATTCGTGCGCCAAACAATGAGCTCTCTCACGTCCTTCCAGACCCACAAGTGGCGAGCTAGACACACATCCTGGACGTGTCATTATGTTGTATGCTCTTGAAGCGCGCAGGTCGTATCGGTCACGCCGATGTCAACGCTGTGCTGTGGCTGTAATCGTCGTGTTCAGCATTGCGTATCATGGGCCCGCAACTGGTGAAGTATGGTCAACCAGTTCCCATAACCTGGGAGGCAGACGACCCTCATCCTGCAGAGGGCTGTTGCGTCTACTGCACGTGTGCGTTACATGTATATAACAGGACAACGTTTTGGGCAACATCCCTTTCATAGCACGGACAGTGGCACATGTGGTGTGCATGTGCTATGAAGAAGGGTCATTGCCCGAAACGTCGTTTATTACAGCACACCTGTCAACCCCTTATCGGTGCCCTACCTTATCACAGACCAGGTCAGACCGTATTGGTCACCCCGTGCCCCTTATAAACCTCAGCGTTCATCCCACAAAGTCCCATCACAAGGAGAGAAACTCAAACAAATAAGATACAAATATGACAAGTGTTGTTGCCCGCGTTGACACGTCTGTACGCCGCCGTATGGAGCTGGAAACTCAATTTCCCTGCACAAGAACACGGGGTTATAAAGAGTGTTGGGTTGACACGGTTACGATTTCGGTTTTATTTCCTTTCAATGACCACGCACCCGCAGACGCACATACACACGGACACACACACACGCACACCCACACACGCACCCACACACGCACGCACACACGCACACGCCCACACACGCACCCACGCACCCACACACACGCACCCACACACGGACCCATGCACACGCACGCACCCACACGCACACCCACACACCTACACACACACACCCGCACACACGCAGCGCTGTTGGCGAACGTGTTCGTGTTAATTGTGCGTTTGCGTGCATCGGGGCCAACGCGGCAGCAGACATCAACAAGCACCCACCATCGATGGGGGTGATGAATGAATGAGAGGCCGAGTGCCGATGATGAGGGCGCGTGTGTTCGAGATGACGAACGGCAGCAGCAGCAGAAGAATAATAAAGTTGGCCGCACAAGTTGCAGTGGGAAAACAACAATGAGAATACGTTTTTAACCTTTCTGGCAATAAAACGAGAGGTGTTAAGATGTTCAAACACCAAAGAGAAACCTCTTGCGAGAAAATCAGGTCTGCGTTGACCGCACATACTTTATAGGAATAGGTTTTACCCTTTAACTGGCACAAAAAACTGACACCTTTATTCAAGGCATCATGTTTGCAATAACCACAACACAAGCGGTCAAAATGCAAACAAAAAAGACAACTCTCATAATAATATGCACTGTCCTTGAATTGGATTGGTCCACACACGAGTTAAAAGGGTAAAACCTATTCCTATATCTTGTTACTGGCAAAGGAGGTCTCATAATGTAAATGCTCACCCGAGCCCTCAATACGTGCGCTGTTTTTGAGTTGTACGCCTTTTGGCGTCTTCTGGTCCAACACCAATGGAGACTAGGCTCTAAGAAAAGCTGTCTCGGGTGTGGACCAATCAAATTCAAGGACAGTGCATATTATTATCAGAGTTGTCTTTTTTGTTTGCATTTTGACTGCTTGTGTTGTGGTTATTGCAAACATGATGCCTTGAATAAAGGTGTCAGTTTTTGTGCCAGTTAAAGGGTAACACCTATTCCTATATCTTGTTACTGGCAAAGGAGGTCTCAAAACGCACGTACTTTGTTTGCATGTGTGTGTGGTTCATGCACACTTGATTTGAAGGTTTCGTGACTGCAGGAATTACTCTTTGGTTCTTTCGGTAAAGTCACGGAGAAAGTTTAATGCAGTACTCGATTCCTTGCAAAAGGTTCCTGTTTGGAGTTTGAACATCTTAACGTTATGGCAGAAAGGGTAAAACCCATGCTTATTTGCTTATTTTGTCATACTTTGATATTGTCCCATTTTGATTTCACAGAGCTCGCAACTTTCATTTCTGAGTCAGAACCAGTGCACAGACACTCCATCCCTAGCCCTGCTTTGATGTGAATAAGGCCCATTGCCCAAAACGTTGGCCAATCCACTGCTGGACGAGGGCCTCCCCACGGCGTTGCGGGTCGCCGGGGTTGGTAATATGAGACATTATTAATTGGTAATGAGAGGGAGCATAGATAGACCTGTGGGTACCCTACAACAACTGATGTCGCTGCACTGCGCTGTTGCGAGCAGACTACTGCGTCTGTGATCAGCCCTATCCAGCAGCAGAGAGTGGTGGACATGGAGCCCTGGTCATTGGTGTAGTAACTACATTATAAGTTGTGTAGTAACTACATTATCAGTGGTATAGTGACTACATTATCAGTGGTGTAGTAACTACATTATCAGTGGTGTATTGATTACATTATCAGTGGTGCAGTGACTACATTATCAGCGGTAAAGTGACTACATTATCAGTGGCTTAGTGACTACATTATCAGTGGTAAAGTGACTACATTATCAGTGGTGTAGTAACTACATTATCAGTGGTGTAGTAACTACATTATCAGCGGTAAAGTGACTACATTATCAGTGGTAAAGTGACTACATTATCAGTGGTGTAGTAACTACATTATCAGTGGCGTAGTGACTACATTATCAGTGGCGTAGTGACTACATTATCAGTGGCGTAGTAACTACATTATCAGTGGCGTAGTAACTACATTATCAGTGGCATAGTAACTACATTATCAGTAGTATAGTAACTACATTATCAGTGGTATAGTAACTACATTATCAGTGGCGTAGTGACTACATTATCAGTGGTGTAGTGACTACATTATCAGTGGCGTAGTAACTACATTATCAGTGGCGTAGTAACTACATTATCAGTGGTGTAGTGACTACATTATCAGTGGCGTAGTAACTACATTATCAGTGGCGTAGTGACTTCATTGTCAGTGGCGTAGTGACATTATCAGTGGCATAGTAACTACATTATCAGGAGTATAGTAACTACATTATCAGTGGCGTAGTGACTACATTATCAGTGGCGTAGTGACTACATTATCAGTGGTGTAGTAACTACATTATCAGTGGCGTAGTAACTACATTATCAGTGGCGTAGTGACTACATTATCAGTGGCGTAGTGACTACATTATCAGTGGTATAGTGACTACATCATCAGCTCAGGGGTGCGGCGATCGGTCAGGTGGGGGCCCTAAATATTTGATGTGAATTAAAATAAAAAAGTGGACCGCAAATGAAAGCATTTTCAAAAAAATTCAACCGCGTTTTCAACATTTTTTTGTTCTTTTTACACTTGTTGAAAACAAATCTCATGGCTGTTGTCAAGGGAGGCCCAACTCGTAGCTTTGGCCACGAGGGGGTTGGGGGGGGGCAAGGCACCTCCTGCCTGCCCCCTTGCTCGTTCCGCCACTGCTGGCCATGGTACACGGAGTGGAATGGGGTCCTCTCTCTCTCTGTCCCCCAATCTGCCACCTCTCGGTAGCACGGCCACCTCCAGTCCACGAGTCTCCTGCGGTCCATTTGCAGCGCCCTGAGCACTCGGCAGCTATCGCACGGCTCCCATCACGGTCAGCATGATTTATTTATTCGTAATCAGGTGACGGCTCTTTTCCCTCCCCTCTCATCCCCGGAATCCTCATTCCTTCTCCCCCTCTCCACCTCCTCCTCCATTTCCTGCCCTGCGCTCCTCCCTCTTCTCATCCCACTGCTCATCCTGAGCCGAGCCCCTCCCCTCTGTCCGTCTTGGGGCACTTCCGTCCCGGCATTACCTTCGCTTTGCAGTGCCTTGCCCTTTCTCCGTACATTCACATCCTTGACTCTACTCCCGTTCCCATGCGGCGTGTCACGGGTACGCAGTTTAGCGTGCGTGAAGCATCTTTCGCGTGCTCGCCAAATGCCCGACACCACACCGTTATCCACAAATGTACAACAATGATTATAAAGGAATAATAATGTACAGCACTTTGTGAGCCCACTGCTGCGTGAAGGTTTCTCCTCGCCACATCGGTCACGGGGAATGTGTTGATCATACTTCACCTCACTGGTCAGTTCAGGACGGTTAAGTTGACAGAGGCGGGGGGGGGCAAGGCCGGTTCAGATACCACTGATGTTAGCCGTGGCCGTGGATTGAACTCGGGTCGTCGGGTTTCTTAGCAGTGCGCTAACCACTGCGTCACCACTCCACGAACATACATAACGCGTCGTAAATATGTAACCACTTTCGGAAAACATAATAACGCTTCAAGTTTTAACAACGCCGAGGAACACTAGCCCTGTGGCGGAGAACAGGGCCACATCCGCCAGAGAAATATGACCACAGTTTCACACCCAGACGTAGGTCACACCTTGCCACATCGTGGAGAGATAGGTCACTCTTGCAAACGAGACTGTCTCTCAAATTCTCACCCCGTTGAAAAAAATGCTTGGAAGGTGTGGCACGATTAATTGTCACGATTATGGGGGTTGGCATTAAATTCAAGATCAGATTCCAATTTTTTTTTACATTATGGTATAAAAAGTACTGTGGCTTAAGGTACCACGTGAACTTACATGCCAGATTTGGGGATCTCAAATAATCATATCTTACGCGCGCAATTCAAGGTGAGCATCGTGAGCATGAGAATCAATATTAATTGATCCATACATCGTGATACCGCTAATAAAGACATCGGTGGGCAGGCAGACAATTTAAATGAATATATAAATTGTTGCAATTGTCTGGTATTGTGTGGCTGTTTCCCAGTCACATAATTAACATTCGTGGCCACGCGAGGAGTGTCTCAGATCTGTATCCTTGCATCTAATTTCATTAATTCCTCTATTTAACCAGCATACTGTACACTGTAACTGTATACATCTATCAGGAGGAAGGGCTCATAAATTTACAAGGCCCTAAATGCAGCGACATCTCGAGGCGGTGCATAGAAACGGTGAGCACGTTTATTTTTTACAGAGATGAGCAGAGTACGGAAGGAAGACCACGAGAGCCTAGACTTGAACAGGGGCAGGGAGCCAACGGCACGGAGGGCAGGAGAAAGAGAGTTTCGGACTACAGAGGAGAAATGGTGATCTTCCACTGAGCCACGGTTGACTGCGGGGTGGGGGGCTTTGTTGCTGGAGCAGAGAGTGCGTGGAGGGCAGTCGTTGGCACAGGCTTGTGATTGGAATCGCCTGGGGGAGGACGAGGATGCCTCATGCGCCCCTCGTGCATGTGTGCGTGCCTGCGTAGTGCTGGCCATCCCGCGAAAGGATGACACGCAAATTCGTGAAGCGTTCCATCATTCGTTTTCGTGGGGGGCAGTAAAGTGGTTAGTGCGCTACGCTACGAACTCGGCGACTCAAGTTCGGCCAACGCCGGTGACGAATTATCTGAACTAGTCCTGGGCCTCTCCTAGGTCGACTCAGCCTTAAATGAGTACCCGGTGCGGTGTGTAAACATCGCCACTAGAGAGACAAAGGCGGCCGGGCGTGGTGTTGGCCACCCACCCCCCTTGTGTGCCGTTTCGGCCTTCATAGGTGCTCGCAAACAGCACTTGCCCCAACAGTCTGTTGAGGCTATACGGGGGATCTTTGTGCGTGCGTGCGTGTGCGAACCCTTTCGGTGAACACCGTGCTCGCTGGCCGTGCCGAACACGCGGTCCCAACCACAAGCAGCTCCCAGCGTGGAGCCACCGACAAGCGCGCGCTCACCCGGAACCTCTCGTGCGTGAGAGAGCGTGCGATGGGAAGTGAGGCTGGCTGGGTGAATTGGCCCAGGTGGCTCACTGCGTGGCTGCATGGGTGAGTGGCTGGATGGCTGGCTGTGTATATGGGCTGTCTAGGTAGGCAATGGTTTGGTGTTCTATGAGGCGGTGGACATGTGGCTGGCTGGGTGGATGGGTTACTTAATGTGTGGCTGGGAAGCTGGGTCAGTGGCTAACTTTAGGGCTGATTGTCTGGCTGGGTGCCTGGCTGGGTTTCTGGCTGGGTGGCTGGGTGTTTGGCTGGGGTGTCTGGCTGGGTGTCTGGCCGGGTGCCTCGCTGCATGGCTGGGTGTTTGGCTGGGGTGTCTGGCTGGATGTCTGGCCGGGTGCCTCGCTGCATGGCTGGGTGTCTGGCTGGGTGTCTGCCTGGGTTTCTGCCTGGAGTTTCTGCCTGGGGTGTCTGGCTGGGGTGTCTGGCTGGGTGGTGGGGTGCAGTATTTCAGTCCAAAGTGCGAGAGGAGAGTCCCCCGTGAGCCACGGGCGCAAATAAAAAAAAACTGTTCTGCCGTTTCCCGTAATGCATCAGGAAGCTGTGGCCCAGAGCCGTGCGTGATAAACGTGCATGTGAATGTGTGCGTGTGAGCGAGTGTGTATGTGCGCGTGCGTGCGTGCGCGTGCGTGCGTGCGCGCGCTTCATGGAGCGCTGTCGGCGTGGTTTGCTCTCTGGGCTATGATCCCAGAGACCCAGCTTCAATTCCCGGCCAGTGACAACACCGGTTTGGGAAATGGGCGTAATGCGAACCCTGTGTTGGTCTCCCACTCGTGTAGACTCGGCATAAACTTACATCGAATTTTTTTTCACGACGGCAGTGTGCAGGTCATGAAAAGTACGACACAAAGGCGGACAGATTTATGCGATGAAGGCCATCCCACCTGCTTGTGCCACACCAACCTCAACAATAATAGGCGCTCGTGAAGAGTAACCGGCCCCCCTGATGTGCAAGCGGATAAGGTGGCATGTTTGTCCTCAGTTTTGCATGCGGGTTACTTTCCGGCGATGTTTATAACACTCCGTCAAAAAACAACCCCCCCCCCCCCCCTCCGTGACCTATCCGACGTGACCACATTCTCGGTATCCGCGGGGCATTTTGACATTTTTCAGGAAGCGGAATCTCTCCGCCGCTGGCACCCCAGGGGCGGGCGAGAGGGACGTTGCTGTTGTTGGGGGCAGGGGAGGGGCAGGCCGCGGGGGGAATTGACCCCGACATGAACCCCGATGACAGTGCGCTGCCTATAAATAATCATGTGCCCGCACGTGCCAGTCAGGTGCGCGATCTGGCCCGCCACATTTCAGGCTAAGTCGACCTACGCGAGTTGTACAGCAGCAGCAGCCGCCTTTTACCAATAAGTGTCGAGCGGGATTCTCTTTGAGGCCTCATCAAGCGGTGAACGTTCGCTGGGCAAGAGGTCAGTGGACAGACTCAGGGGACAGACTCAGGTGTTATGGGTTGACCGACTGAGATGACTGGCACCGCCTGTGCCCCCTACCGTGCCACCTCGCTGCATTTTAGGCGCTCCACTCGTTGTTGTGAGCGTCGCTCCTCCACCCTTCGTTATTGCTGGAGGGCGACTGCCTCCAACTGCCCAGTAGCATCCTTCACGAGCCTCCTCCACAGAGGCCGATCTTTACACCGCTGGTACAGGTCATCGGCAAGGCCAATCAGATCCACAATTTCCTGTACCGCATCGGCTCCATCTCTTCCTTAGCCCGTGCCGCGCCCCTGTAAACCCCCTCTATCAGGCCAAACAGAGGCTACTTGAGTAAGCGGTGGCCAGGCATGCAGGCTACATGACCCAGCCAAAGCACCCTTTCTTGCCGGAGGAGCTCACCGATGATGGGATCGTGCCCAAATGTGGACACAGAGACGCACACGCGCACACACAAATACGTACGTACGCATGTGTGCCGCGTGCATTCCCCAGGTTGGATTTGAACCCCCCGCTGCTGTCACCTGGGCGTTTTGGCTAAGCAAACCTCGCTCTGCCAACAGCATCAGGTGTGGGTGGCGATACCCAGGCCTGGATAGTTTAGGCTGAGCCTTGGTCAGGTGACATTGACCTCAGGTTTACGATGGTTAGTGTGCACGCGGGTGTGTGTGTGTGGGGAGCGGTAGTGTAGCGGTTATCGCGTTGCGCGATGAACCCGGCGATCCGGGTTCGATTCCCGCTCACGGCCAACACTAGTGACGATTATCTGAACAGGTCCTGGGCCTCCCCTAGGTCGACTCAGCCTCAAATGAGTACCTGGTGCGGTGTGTAAACATCGCCACTGGGGAGACAAAGGCGGTCGGGCGTGGTGGTGGCCATCCACCCCCTCGTGTACCGTTCCGGCCTTCATAGGTACTCGCTAACAGCACTTGCCCCTGCAGTCTGTTAAGGCTATACGGGGGATCTTTGTCTTTTGTGTGTGTGTACGAGTGATCAAGGTCTCCCCCACACTATCACTAACCCTCACGAACCTTCGATGCCACAATCAAACCCAAAGCTGTAGCCGGGTGTGGTGGCAAGGGTTGGTGGGTCTCGCAGAGATTTGCGAAACTCCCAAACCCATTCGGCTGTGAGGTGGTGGCCGCCAGGATGTTGACAGAACGTCAGGTAGGTCCGGGAGCCGGTCCACGTGGAACTTTGATGGTTATCTGCTTGTACATGAGCTCACTTCTCTCCGGGTACTCCCATATAATGCACTTATCGTGCCTGCGTTCCCTGCCTTCAACCCACGCTGACCAGCATGGCGAAGTATGGTCGCACAACCGCCATGGCACCCGCGCAGACGCGGGGAGACCCTCGCACTTTCACCGACTTCCTTCCGCCCCAAACACGGCTCGCTCGATAAAATAACTTGGCCAAAAAAATCCCACTGTGGCAGGACCCTCCCGAGAACAAGTCTTGAGACTCGTTGACGCTTTCCTGGGTAAATAAATTACATTCATCAGGATTAAGTAGGAACTGAAGCTCGCACTGTTGGTAACTTATCGGCCAGTGAGAGCTACGGGGCAATAGAGGGCATTGGTTAAACGTGAATCGACGATAACTTTGTGTTGCTAAGCCATTGATCGGTGGTGCCTGTTATCGTGGAGGCGATGATGGTGTCACGTTTTCGGGGCGAATGCTTCGCTCAGACGTGCGCTATTGTATGTACGTTTAACTTTTTTCTCATCGTACGTAGCCAACCGTGCTAATCGGAGGTGCGGCGGGAAGTGATTTTCAATCTAGACGATTTAAAAGTGCATAGCTCCAATGGCTTCCTAATATCGGAAGAAAGAGCATTCCAGACGGCCGCAGAAGCGCGATGCAGTGACCGTCTTCATTCGATGATGACCGGAGTTCGTGTGATGGCCATTGACCGGCCGGCGAGCAACAAGGGCATAAGTTAGACTCCCGATGGTAATTCCCGCAGGGGGAGCCGGTAGGGGGGGGGGGAAGTGGTGGAATTTTCCATAGTTCTCATCTACTGGTGCACGTGGATGCGTCAAAGTGTCCGGGCCTCCTGTCAACGGGCGCGCTCGCAGCATGAACGAGAGGGCCCGTGCACATTGGCGGCACGTGTCGCTCCGGTCGCAGGCCACCCGGGTGCCTGCCGCACACGCAGGCTTTCACTGAGCGCAAACTCATCGCGGCAAGGGGGTGGACGGCGTGGCGGGGGCAGAGCGTTGGCTCGGCAGAAATGCTGTACGTCCGAAACATTATGGGGAATAGTTTCTCGGGATGCGGCAGAATTTGGCTGGTTGTTGGGGTCGCGGTGAATACTGCGGTGACCGTCGTGGTGATCGCGGCAGCAGCGTCGTGGTGGAAATGATGGTGGAGGAGATGGTAGTGTGATGATTGTGATGGTGGTGATATGGTGGTCATATAGTAATGTCGTTATGGTGTTGGCAATCGTAAGAGGCTGGTGATGACGATAGCGAGTATGATGGTGGTGTTGGTGATAGCAGAGAATGGTGGTACATAGGTAAGCACACTCCATTATGACCTCAGTGACCCGAGTTCAGTCTCTATCCATGACTAACGTTCGTGGAAAGTGGCATTAGAACTCATCCTGATCCGCCACTATGTTGACCTGGCCTTAAATGAATACCTGGAATGTTCTGTGAACGTGAGCACGAGCAAGGCAAAGCCACGCGGGCATGGTGCTAACCACACCACCCATTCGTGTCCTACGCCAGCCTTGATAGGTGCTCACGGACAGCAGTCGGCCCAACACTATGGATACACGGGCAGGGATTTTTGTCTGTGATATTGGTGATTTTATTAGCAACGATGTATCTATGGTGAACTTCTTTCGGGGGGAAGGACAACAAACTAAACACAAAAAGCAGTTCTAAGGAAATTCGTTTTCAGTCGTTATGTTAAAGCGCATAGCTCCGGTGGCTTCCTAATGTCGGAAGGAAGAGCGTTCCAGACAGACGCAGGTGCGCATCTGAAAGCGTGCGATGCAAGTGACTGACGGCCAGCCAAAATCCGCTGCTGCGAGGATGCCGATGGTGGCCGTGTGCTGCTGCATCGCCAGTGCTCATCGCTGCGATCAGACGGCGCGGTCGAGCACTGGCGGATAAGCGTGGTTGCCGTTTGCTTTTGTTCACCTGAAATTTGCGCGCCGCTTGCAGCTCGGTGGCGAATCGATGGCGGTGGAGCCGCGTGCCGAGGCGCGCTGGGGCACGGTGGGGGGGTGGCGAGCGGTGATGCCTTCGGCGCTTCTCGCGAACGCGTGCCGGTCGCGCTGCTCGTGCGGTTTCCCGCGTGGCGATCGTCTCGAGCAGAGGCGGAAACGGTGCGTCGATCCGCCTCTCGGATAATCAATTATTTTGACTCGAGCGGTGGCAAACAGTGGTTAGCCGCGACCTGCCGTCAACCTCCCCATTCGGTTTCGGTTCGACTCCCGGCCGTGGCTGACGGCAGTGACGAGTGATATCCGAACCGGTAGCCCCCTTGCTCTATCCCACGCGGTGCAGTACGGTCAGACGCTCCCATGACCAGAATATAGCGTGGAGAGGTCTTCATCAAGGAGTGGATTGACAAAGGGCCGTAACATTACATTGCCAATGATTTGCTAACTTTACACGCAAAGTGAACTGTGCAAACAAGCAATGGAAATTGCAACAATACAAACGAGGTGGTAAAAACTAAACCCAAATATATTTTGTATTGAATTGTAACCATGAAGTGTAACAATTCACGTACCATGATATATGTGTGTGTGCCAACTAGTCCACTGTGCTATGTGTGTGCCAACTAGTCCCACTGTGCTATGTGTGTGCCAACTAGTCCACCGTGCTATGTGTGTGCCAACTAGTCCACCGTGCGGTGTGTGTACAAACTAGTCCACCGTGCTATGTGTGTGCCAACTAGTCCACCATGCTATGTGTGTACCAACTAGTCCACCATGCTATGTGTGTGCCAACTAGTCCACCATGCTATGTGTGTGCCAACTAGTCCACCGTGCTATGTGTGTACCAACTAGTCCACCATGCGATGTGTGTACCAACTAGTCCACCGTGCTATGTGTGTACCAACTAGTCCACCGTGCTATGTGTGTGCCAACTAGTCCACCATGCTATGTGTGTGCCAACTAGTCCACCGTGCTATGTGTGTACCAACTAGTCCACCATGCTATGTGTGTGCCAAGTAGTCCACCGTGCTATGTGTGTACCAACTAGTCCACCATGCTATGTGTGCCAACTAGTCCACCGTGCTATGTGTGTGCCAACTAGTCCACCATGCTATGTGTGTGCCAACTAGTCCACCGTGCTATGTGTGTACCAACTAGTCCACCATGCTATGTGTGTGCCAACTAGTCCACCGTGCTATGTGTGTACCAACTAGTCCACCATGCTATGTGTGTGCCAACTAGTCCACCGTGCGGTGTGTGTGCCAACTAGTCCACCTTGCTATGTGTGTACCAACTAGTCCACCATGCTATGTGTGTGCCAACTAGTCCACCGTGCGGTGTGTGTGCCAACTAGTCCACCGTGCTATGTGTACCAACTAGTCCACCGTGCTATGTGTGTACCAACTAGTCCACCATGCTATGTGTGTGCCAACTAGTCCACCGTGCTATGTGTGTGCCAACTAGTCCACCGTGCTATGTGTGTACCAACTAGTCCACCATGCTATGTGTGTGCCAACTAGTCCACCATGCTATGTGTGTGCCAACTAGTCCACCGTGCTATGTGTGTACCAACTAGTCCACCATGCTATGTGTGTGCCAACTAGTCCACCGTGCTATGTGTGTGCCAACTAGTCCACCGTGCTATGTGTGTACCAACTAGTCCACCATGCTATGTGTGTGCCAACTAGTCCACCATGCTATGTGTGTACCAACTAGTCCACCGTGCTGTGTGTGTACCAACTAGTCCACCATGCTATGTGTGTACCAACTAGTCCACCGTGCTATGCGTGTACCAACTAGTCCACCGTGCTATGTGTGTGCCAACTAGTCCACCGTGCTATGTGTGTACCAACTAGTCCACCATGCTATGTGTGTGCCAACTAGTCTACCGTGCTATGCGTGTACCAACTAGTCCACCGTGCGGTGTGTGTGCCAACTAGTCTACCGTGCTATGTGTGTGCCAACTAGTCCACCATGCTATGTGTGTACCAACTAGTCCACCATGCTATGTGTGTACCAACTAGTCTACCGTGCTATGCCTGTACCAACTAGTCCACCGTGCTATGCGTGTACCAACTAGTCCACTGTGCGGTGTGTGCCAACTAGTCCACCATGCTATGTGTGTGCCAACTAGTCCACCGTGTTATGTGTGTACCAACTAGTCCACCATGCTATGTGTGTACCAACTAGTCCACCGTGCTATGTGTGTACCAACTAGTCCACCGTGCTATGTGTGTACCAACTAGTCCACCGTGCTATGTGTGTACCAACTAGTCCACCGTGCTATGTGTGTACCAACTAGTCCACCGTGTTATGTGTGTACCAACTAGTCCACCGTGCTATGTGTGTACCAACTAGTCCACCGTGCTATGTGTGTACCAACTAGTCCACCATGCTATGTGTGTACCAACTAGTCCACCGTGCTATGTGTGTACCAACTAGTCCACCGTGCTATGTGTGTACCAACTAGTCCACCGTGCGGTGTGCAGGCCGAGGGCATCAGCTACACGCCACCACTGAGTCCGCTGCCGGCCCCGGGCAGTGTGGCCCAACCGGGCAGCGCACGGGCACAGCCCAGCCCACGGCTCAGCATGGCGCCCGAGGAGGCCGGCCGCATCCCACTCAACCTCGGTGGGGCTCTCTCTTCCTCTCTCTCTCTCCCTCTCTCTCCCTCTCTCTCCCTCTCTCTCTGTGTTGGGTACTCCATAAAAACACAGATCGGCCTCGTTATCAGCGTTACCTCGGGCTTGTGTAAGCCAACCCGAGCGCTCGTTCGACCTTGTTCGTTCGTTTGTTTTTAAAACGCGGTCGCCGCTTCCCTCCCACCTCCAAGTGACAAGGGAGGAGGACGGGGGCAGGTTGGGGAGTGTCGCTGCAGGGGCGCCGCTCGTGGTGTTGGGCGATTCCAGGAACTGCCTGGCACGGCTTGGCTCTGTTTGCCAGGGGTCGTGGAAGGGCAGCATTTTGCTCTCCTCCGGTCGTACTTTTGGTTGAGAAGCCGCTAAGCTACGCGGCAAACACAACCGCGCGCAACTCGGCTGTCCACCCGGCCCAATTAGTGCCAATTAGATGAGCAAGAGGATGATGGGCGAGTGACATCGCGTCGGGTGGACCCCTTGTGACCTATCGTGCCTTGTTCGTCATTTGCCCACGCTGTGATAAAGCCAACTGAAGCGCGGAGGTCAGGTTAACCTGTTGACCTATCCCAGGACTTCCAAAAAAGCTCCGGCCCTGGTTCCCATCAGAGGCCGCCCGTCCGTGCGTACCAATCTCCCGCGTTCAACTGCACAAAGAGCCGTTGCTTGAACGACCGCGTGCTACGCTCATTAATTGATTAGGCAAGCCAGTTGAGGTTCATCATCGACTGCAAACAGAGACCCGGATTCAGCGTGGACCCCACGGCTGTGACTATTTACTCACCCCCGTCGGTTCGGTGAATTGTCGCGTTCCAGGACCGCGATTCAATTTACATAATTGAGACTTTTTGTTTGTCTCATACATTTTGCTGTGGCATTTGTTCGGCTTCGTTGGGTACAACGCGTGGGATCTGTATGGTGTGATAGCGCATAAAACTGGCACAGTATACGGAAATGGCAGTGAAGTCAATGATATAATGTGTGGGGTGGGGGGACAAAACAGTAAGTGAAATTGAAAGAGAAAAGAACGGGAAATAAGAAGAAAAAGATGGAAAGGGGAACGGCGAAACGGGACTAAAGGGTCAGGATTGCGCAAAAGGGTAGGGAGGCCGGGACGGAAATCCCAGAGACGGACAAAGAGGAGGGCACGGCTCAGGATGAGCGGCAAAAAGAGAGGAGGAGCACTGGGCAAGCATCTGCCGGGAAAATTAAACTCTGGCACAAGCGATGACACAAATGCTCGCTGGGTTCCCGTGACAGCCGCCCACCCGTTCGTATGGAGCAAGGACGACGTGGCTCAGTGGCTGCGCTGGGCCGAGGAGGAGTTCTCTCTGCGAGCGGTCGACTCGGGGCAGTTCGAGATGAATGGCAAGGCGTTGTGCCTGCTCACCAAGGACGACTTCCGCTACCGCTCCGCCAGCGCCGGTGAGTTGTCGGCGGGGTGAGGGACGCGCCGGTCAGCGGGTGGGGTTGGTTATGGCGGCGACGAGCAACGCGACCGCGTGGGTTCTCGCCGTCGTGCTGTACGGCTCTCGGACGGATGCGACTTGGGGGGGCGTAGCGTGCGTCGTTCCGCTTACCCGCGTGCCGGGAGCGACTTTGGGGACTTGTCGGGCCGCTCACGTTCTCCGTCAATCTTGCCGCGGCGTTGCCGGATGCCGAATTCGGTCAAACGTTTCTCTTCCCCTTTCTTCCCTCGAGCTGCTCCGCTTTGGGAATTCCGGCCCCCACCCCCCCTTCCACCCACCGTCTGCTTTCCCCCGGTTCTTGCAACAGCTCTCGCTCGACTCGAGAAACGTACGAATTCGTATCGATTGCACCTTCAACAGCCTTCGCTGTTTGTTGCCGGCCGCTTGGTGTTTGGGCCTCCGAGGCCGGCGTCCGTGATTCGAAACGATCGGCTCGGCCACTCGGGTCGCAGGCGAAAACGCGATGGACGCAACGTACCGTGAACTTCTTTCGCACCGTACGCGGCCAGCCGTGCTAATCGGAGGTGCGGGGAAAGGACAACGCGTGGGGCGGCGCTGCGAACAGTTCGGTCAGCGGGGGAGCGAACGGGGGCCGAACCTTGGCCCCAGGCGGCCGAACGTCCGAGCGGACAGCGCCGTGTCCCCCCCGCCTGGGTGAGTGAGGCCGTGTGGTGCCCTGCAGGTGACGTCCTGTACGAGCTGCTGCAGAGAATACTGACCAAGTCCAAGTGTCAGCCGTGGAGCACCCTGCAGCTCTGCTTTACAGGTGACAAAGATTTTTTTAAAAACCACAGATCCGCCTTCCCCCACCCCCCGCTCGTAGCCTTTACCGGACAAGTGACGCTTCCCAGGAATCGTCCAGCAATCAACCGTGAACCGATCGCTTTCTGCCAAACGGCATCTTGGCCGGAACGCAGATTCTTCGCCGCAGCCCTCGCAGCGCTTCATCGTCCTCAAGGACTCTCCCGTGGGCACGCCGCGGCCTTCTCCGCAGCACCGGGCGGCTTCCAACGGCACCGGCGGTGGCGGAGGAGACGCCGCCGGTGCCGCCGGTGCCGCCGGTGCCGCCGCCGGCGCCACCGGCGAGACGCCGCGCGCCAGCCCTGACGACGCCGTCACGCGCGCCCCCCCACAGCCGTCGTCGCACCGCGACGGCAACTGCCGCCCCGTTGCGGTTTCACCGCCGCGGCCCGACCCCCATCCCCTCCAGCTCCACCTCCACCAAAACCACCACCACCAGCAGCAGCAGCTGTACCAGCAGCAGCATCATTACCAGCAGCAGCAGCAGCAACGCCTGCTGGGCCCCGTGCATGCCGTGCGCTTCGCGGGAGCAGGCAGCGAGGAACAGCCGCTCAACCTGTCCCACCAGCCCCAGGAGGCCTCCTCGTCCGACCAGCCGATAGGCCGCATTGCAGGTATCGTCTCGACGGCACGTCACGGCACGGCACGTCACGTCTCGGCACGTCACGTCACGGCACGTCACGGCACGGCAAAGCCACCGAAATCCCCGTTTAAAACGTGTACACACAGCGCACACACCACAGACAGACCCCCACCCCCCGCCCCCTCCCGAATAGCCCTCGACAGACTGTTGGGCAAGTGTTCATGACCTGGTGTCGCCAGGTCGATGATCCCCTTACCGCTCGACGCCGACACACACACACACACACGGCGCACACACACACGGCGCACACACACACACAGCGCACACACACACACACAGCGCACATACACACGGCGCACATACACACGCATGGCGCACACACACACACGGCACACGTACACACACGGCACACGTATGGCACTACCTTTCAAATGCTCCCGCTGCCCTCCTCCTCCGCGGCATGCCAGACTGCCGCCTGCTGTGGGACTACGTGTACCACCTGCTGTCGGACTACCGCTACGAGAGCTACATCCGCTGGGAGGACCGCGAGCTGCGCGTCTTCCGCATCGTGGAGCCCAACGGGCTGGCCAAGCTGTGGGGGATGCACAAGGCAAGAGGGGGGGTCCTCGTGCCCGCCAGGGCTTCGGATGAACGCGGGGAGGGGGGGAGGCGGTTTAAGGGGTCTGCGGCCTTGGGGGCCTCGGATTTTGAGGGCCCCCGAAAGACGGGTACTCCGCCACCACGCAGAACTGCTTTTTGTGTTTAGTTGGTTGTCTTCCCCCGCCCACCCCGCACCTCCGAATTAGCACGATGGCTACGTACGGTGCGAAGGAAGTTCAACGTACACACACATACAAAGCACCGTTGGATTAATGCCTCTCCATGCCGTTGGTCACGAGGGGTTTGTCGGACCAGGCTTTAAAGCGCTAAGTGCGGGTGCATGCAGGAAGGCCCACGACCAGTTCATTAATCGCTCGCTCGCCGTCGAAGTTAGCCGTGGCCGGATATTGAACTCACGTCGCTGGGTTCGTAGTGCAGCGCGCTAACCACTGCGCCATCGCTCCTCCCCCTTCAGCATATATATTCCAAAAACATATTAAATGTGTATATATGAACCTTATGGCGGGACCCCGGGGACCCATAAGCCCACAGCTCTCGCATAAACTGCGTTGCAAGATCATTTTATGCCTATTTAAGGCGAACGATACGGCGATCTATTCCTCTCGACGAGCTCTACACGATGCGCTAATCAAAGTTTAAAAGTTTAGTTTATGACTACGGCATTCGTCCTCGCCGCTGCGCTTGGACGACACGACAACAGAACGATCTGCGCCAGGTGGGTCGCGGAGTTTATGTGCGCGGTGGGACGGAGTCGCCAAAAATAAATTAAATTAGGATTTTTACTTCCATTTATTCGGGACCCCGGGGTCCCGCCATAAGGTTCATATCCAGCTTTATAGGAGTTGAACGCCATATTTTGAGCGTGGTAAATCCTACAGTGACATTGGGTTATGGATTCCTTCGCGTCGCTTAGGTGTTTTACTTCCAGTTAGGTGCCGACTACAAAATATGTGTGTGATGGCAGATCGTATTTACAAACTTAAATAACCAAGGTGAATGACAGAGGTGGCGTTTTGGCATTGGGCAGAGGTGGTGGTGAAACGGCCGTCACCACCGTCATCACAACTCCGGCTGTCGCCTGATGAGACTGGTTGTTGTAATGACCGCGAAACCTCACGGTACTCGAATTGTAAATGTTGTCGTGGGTTTACTCTGCTTAACTAGTCACGAATTTGCATGTTTTGTTTACGTGACAAACCTTACTAATAGTCTGTGTCGGGTGGTGGCGGGGTTTAACAACACATTTATATTTACGAAAAAACCTATTATGGATAACATTTGTCGCGAAAGCCAATAACGTGTTAAACTGAACGTCGTCGTCATCATCATCAGCCACGGTCAATCCAACGGACTGCGGAATGCGCGGGTTGGCGTCGGGAGAGGCCAGGTAGCACCCGCCGCTCACGGCAGTGGACGCCGCGGAAACTCTCGTCGCCGGGTTCATCGCGCAATTCACGAGCCGCTGAGCCACCACCGCCGCCGTCTCCTGCGCTTAGTAATATTAGTTATCCTGCACGTACACCGTGCGAGGTTCTACTTCGTAACGGGGGTCACCTCAACGGGTTAAAGACGTGCGGGGAAGAGCCGCTCTGGCAAAGGGCCGAGCGCAGCCGACGAGCGGAGAAAACGCGTCGGGCTGAGCGGTTCGACACGCGAGCGGTCTCGGGCCTTCGTCTGTGCGAGGAGCCTCCCAGTGGGTGCAGCAGTGAGCGCAGGTTATACCCCCTGCTGATAAAATGCGACCGCGGTTAACGTGAAACGAGCGCGATTATACCCAGAAGTTAATTTGCGCTCTTGCTAAGCAGTGGGAATGGATCAGGGGGCCTGGCTGAGACTAGGCTGAGTGGGCCTTACCTGGTAAAATACAAATAGCTTCTAGTTTTAGTTTATAAATTCCATGCTGCTATAAAAAAATACTCAACACATTCATCAATAACACTGTGGCCTATAAAGAGAAAATATAAATAATAGGTGCCGTTCTGGGCAATGGGCCTTTTTTATAGCACATGTTGGGCTATGAACAATGTCCATTGCCCATAATGTCACCTGTTATATATTGTCTTTCAAGGCAGTGTTGACGAATGTGTGGAGTTTTTTTGTTATTTGTGCTTGTGCAGCAGCATCGCCACACAATTAACAATTTGCAATAAGAATACATTCATTAAATATATTTTTAAAATGTGAAATACCGGATTAAGTGAACAAAAAAAATCTCTGCGCAGCCACGTCAAATCGAAATGAAATCTGCGATTTCCATTGCAGCCCACTTTGGCATTACCGCAAAGTCTCTTGGGGCCACCGCTTTCGGTGGGAAAGAGCAAAAGGACGAATCTAAATAGTCTCTGGTTTGGTCTCGATGTTCCTGCAGAACCGGGTGAATATGACGTACGAGAAAATGTCACGAGCGCTGAGACACTACTACAAGCTCAACATCATAAAGAAGGAGCCCGGCCAAAAGCTGCTCTTCAGGTACCGTAAGCGCGCACACATCCAAAAGACAAAGATCCCCCATATAGCCTAAACAGACTTTTGACAACTGCTGCTGTTAGAAAGAAGCTTTAGGTGCTTGCCCGCACACACTAACACGCACGCTTCAACATCACTTCCACCAGCAGCAAATGAGGAAATGCTAGAACCATTCACCAAATAGATTTTGAGTTGCACCTCCAGGCAAGATGTGATGTAATCTGCGAATCCAGCACACGCGCAAATAGTATGTCCGTTGAACTTCTTTCGCACCGTGCAAAGCCAACCATGCAAATTGAAGGTGCAGGGGAAGGACAACAAACTAAACACAAAAAGCAGTTCTGTGGTGACGGAGTGCCCAACGCCTGCGCTGGCTACGAGGTGGCTAATTGGCAGTGTAAATCTCGGCACCGATGGATTCTTGAATCTTGGATCTACCTGCTTGTGTGATTGGGCTTCACTTGGTGTGTCTGCCTTCCTCCCGTGTGCCAAATTCGTATTAATAGCATTGGCCAAACATCCCAATTCAGGGCCCTCTGGACAAAATGTGGCTTTCCTAGATAAAAGGGCATAACCATGAGTACTACTTTACAATGACTCCCATGGCGATCATTTACAGTAATTAACTGTGAATGAGAGTTGGTTGGTCGGAATAATGTATCTTATGTAGCAATTGGTGAATACATTTACATTATTCACAGTGATCGTTAAACATCGTCATCGTGAACCTCATCATCTCTTGATCAGCTTATCTAACTGCCATGAACAACTATTGCTTGCGCAACGTACTGGGTCTCGATTGACATGTGGTGAATGCATTTCCGTTGTTAGCACCGGCTGTAAACCATCGTCAACCATCGTCTCTTATTCAGCTTATGTCACTAACTTTACAACAGTCGATCTGTTTTCCCAGGATCGTCCTCTGTTTTGCGATTAGCTGTCCTGGGAATCTGTAAAAGTCTTCCCGGTTAGACCAGAAGTCCCTGTTTTTTGTCAGTTGCATAATCACACTGCTCAAGGCAACGCGTTCACACGTAGCCCTCCCCTATTCCATTACGATGAGATATTCGCCTTGCCGTGACGTGTCCCATTTTGTTTCTGTAGCCAAGAGGTGGCAACCCCCCCATACACATCACAAGCAACGATCGCTTCTCCACCCCATGCAGCATTAACGACGCCGCCGCCTCTGCCCCTCCCCGTGCCAGGTTTCTCAAGAGCCCAGAGGAGATTGTGCAGAGCAAAACCGACAAGCTGGAGCGCATGGAGGCGTGCGAAGCGGATGGCGCCGCCTTCAAGGACGAGGGCGACTGGTGAGGGGGCGACGACTCGGCGGGGGAACGGGCTCATCCGCCTCGGCGCCGGTTTCCACGCCGCTACCGGCAGAGACGGGAAAGGCAGCCGGGCGTTGAACACCAGCTTCTGCGGCCTCTTTACACCAGTTTTCCATTGGCGCATCCCAGCCGAGCCAGCCGCAGGACCTTTCCACGGCACACGGGTGGGTTTTTTTTCCCCCACTGGCTATTTGCCGAGCCGAGCCGAATCGTGGCCCCTCAGGTGAAAACTCTGGCCTCTAAAGACATCGCAATGGGGCTCGGGACCGAGCGGGACCAGGAGTGACGTCGGTCGGTAACACTGCGAGGATGCAACGTCACCACGTCCTCTCGGACTTGCTCGTTGCACGGGACCATGTGCGGTGGCGTACGGCTCGGCCTCCGCAGTGGAAAAACGACCTGGGTGCCTCCAAAGCTGTGCCAAGCTGGCTCAGCATGGCACCACCGGCAACGACTCGGTTGTGCAGTGGAAAAAGAGGTGTAGGTTTAGCATTGTGAAAACATATCTCCCCTTTTCTATTCCAGTACTATTATTATTATTTCATCACTTCCACACAGGTGCTGTTGGATGTGCCTTAAGTGCGGTGCTCACTTGGGGAAAACGAGTTCCCGCTGACCTCTGCGTGCCTGGCTCTCTAGGCGGTAACTCTCGCGAAAAAAAAAAAACAGTTTTTACCGAGAGCTGAAGACAATTCTCGCAGCCTGCGTTGTGCGACATCCGGGGAGCCCTGGCGGTGGACGTCCGTGCCGATCGTCGGCGGGACGAGAAAAGCAAACGGGCTCGAGACGCAATGAGGAACCACCTCACCAGGGCCACTGCGCCAACGGCACTTGCACATCGCGGATTCGCGGAGACATACGATTGTGTTGCGAATTTTTTAAAAACGCTCTTCACCGTTACCCCTCAAACGAACACAAAAAAGACACAAACCACGCACTGACGAAAAATCAGATGCGAAACTTCTGATTAAAGCCCCCATTTAAAGCTTTGAGCTGTTGGGGAAACTGCAGAGTGGATTGGTACGAAGTTAAAAAACACAAAAGGACACGGCTGGGGTTTCTGTCGTCACAAACAGCAACAACCATCGAACGTTTCTTGTACAGACGGACTTTAGTTTGTTGAGGAACTGCTTTAGGTTCTTCTATACACACGTTGGTCAAAATATTGCACGGTTTTTTTTATCGGAGTGCACTGTGTATTTGTGCAAATGACATTGAACAGAAACAACCATTGTGCCTAACTTTATTGCTGTTTGTTTGGGGGTTACAGGTTCGCAAGGTACGGCACTGTTATCGCAGGATTAAAATGAACTTGATGTTTCTCGCTTAAGTCAACGTCTTATAATTAAACCGCGGCACGACAACGGTGTGTGTAATAATTTTCCTGGTGGCGGGTTTGATTCCGAGAATAGCTGTGCGAAAAGCATTTCTGATGAATTACTGCGTGCATAGCAATTGGACGTTTCAAAGGCATTTGGAAGATTCAAAGGGGTGGTTCACAATATTTACAGCGTGATTATTTTTCTAAAGGCAACAACAAGACGAGGCCCGTGCTAACGAACACGACCCAGCTGTGCCAGTTAAAATGCTGTTTGTGCAGCACCGTGCTGAAGCTCTGCAGCACTCGGGGCAGCTGCACAAGTCACTGACAGCACACACCTAACGCTTTCTCCCCCCTCTGCTCTTTCTTGCAAGAACAATGATTGTATCGGGGCTGGGCAAGGTGGCTCAGTTTGGGGGTTGAACTTTACTGAACGAGTTCCTGTGTTGTAAATATAGAAACTGTTTTTATCGACTTACGTTTTTATTTTTTTGTGCAGACTTTATATTGTTATTTATGCTTTGGTAGCAGATGGGGGTTGTTAAAGAGTTGATTTTTTCCCAGTTCCTTTTTTTGTTCATGTTGTTTCCAAATGATTATATATATAAAAAAACGGATGACGACACTGGATCCATTGTAAAAAGTCACTGCGTCCTCCGAGTTTCTCACTTCCGGGTTACACCGCTCCGCCCCCCACCCCCCCTTATTACATTACGAGTGAAAACACAACAACGACAGTGTCACAAGGCAGTTGATGAATAGCCAGGAAGACTTGAGCGCTCAGTAGGTTTGTGTTTATTGAGTGTGACTTTGCCTTTGACAACAGAGTAACACTTTTAATATTTGGTTTTAACGTAACTTTTAATATTATTCATTCCATCGATTAATGTCAAGATGAGTGCATAAGTTAAAAGGGAAAATGACTGCAGAACCGCCCGTATCTGCGACCGTGCAGGACTTCCGCAGAGGCTGGGATAAAACACGTTCGGGGTTGCCCAGTGCCAGAGTCGAAAGTTCACATCTCCCTGGTTGCTCGTTTAGACCCTCGAAAGGGTTTTTTTTAGTGCTTGTACACTGGGGCAAAGTGAACGCGCCGCACACACGATTCTACATTCCCCATTTTGGATGTTTAGGGGCAGCTGCATGGCCCAACCACAATGGCCTCGAAGTAACGCTGACCCACCGGCCCAGGTTGCAACAAAGTCACAAAGGTTGGGATTCCAAGGGTAACAATTTGTAGCATTTTGCGGCGGAGTTTCCAAACAAATATATTTTTTTCATGAGTAGGCCATTAAGCAGCGCCAGTGTCTTATAATCAAACCAAATATTTTTCTGAAAGTGCCAAATAACCGCAAATATAAACAAGCCCATGTCGCCACTCCTGTTAATCAGTTTCCCTTTTCACAACAGGCAACAGGTCGGCAATGGACTCTCACCTGGGTTAACAAAAGGCTGTTGACGTTACACGAGCAAGCCTCAATTCTTCACAAAGACCTGCCACTTTCATCCCAGAAAACCAGTGCGAATGTTCAATCGGCCTGCGTGCTACGTATATTTGCTCCTCACCGCGCGCGCTTAACCCACTAACTTCACCTCTGCCCAGGCATTCATTGCGTGTCGCTAAATAAAAGGGGGCTGTCAAAACGCACACTCCCGCGGGCAGCTTTGAAGACACCTGTGGTGTGTGGAGCGGGGGCGGACGCCACGGGGTCCACGTCACGCCGACAAAGTCACTCGCGTGGTCACGTACGGCGGCGTGCGTGCGTCCTTAGAGGAAGCGGATTCCTGCGCCAAACTGAATCCCGTCGCAAATCCTGCGCACGACAACGCACGGAGAGACGCGCACGGTTACACGCCGACAGGTACACGCCGACAGGTACACGCGCTTGTGCAAAATGCCACATTCCTGTGTCAGAGCGCAGGCTATACTTCAGGCAACCGTCGATGCTTTCCAAACCAAAAGGTGCGTCTCAAACTGGGGCTGTGTTGGGTATGGCCTTTGGTTGGATGAGGATCTCCCCAAGGTGTGCAGGTCACGAGGGTAATGTGAATGGACTTAACTATGCTGTGCAGAAGTTTGAGCTGTTGATTCTTAAATCCATCTGTGCAAAGCCTGGTTATTGCCTCGCATGCGTACGTTTTGTTTTTTTCATGCCAGATTACTCCGGTGTTGATTGGGGATGCAGGGAGCGTAGACGTGGGTGCATAGAATTACAGTACAACGGATGTTTGCTGGACTGCCCCATGCTCGCTGACTACGGTAGCACCATTGAAATCAATACTTACTTTATCGAATTATTCGGATTCCTCCCACACGAATCCGAACATGATTGATGGAAGTGGCTAAACATATCAATGGAGCAGTGACCCTCTTTGAAAACATGTCTTGAAACTCGGCGACGCTTCCCTGGACACATTTTAAGGGTATTTCTGGTGTGATTAAGAACGCAACACATGTATTCATTCCACAGACTGATATGGGTTCAGCGTGAGAAAACACTCCATGACCAAAATCGCCCAGAATTTGCCCAAGCTGGCCATTAAGGTTAAGCAGGCTGACTTAGGAACTTTCAGAGACGCGGACAAACATGTCTCTATGTCCAGTTACCTGTCTGGATCGAGAGTCGCAAGTTCAACCGCCGTGCAATAGATGGCGGGGGGGTGGCATTTACATCTGCAGAACATGCAGAACCAGTGGCATCTACATCTACAGGAGATTATAAAACTTTTAAAGCCATTCGCCGTGTTTAGTGTACGTGCCGTACAACGTGTTTGGAACATAACTCGTTCGTAAGTAGAGTCGCCGCTGTATGTGGCTTTGCGTGAACGGGCGACCACCGCGTGAAATGGGCTACACTGTGGGCAGCAGTGGGAAGTGCGGCAAAACCCATCGCGCCGCACTCGCCTCCCACATGGGTGCTGCCCGCCTTCCCCAATCCCGCACTGACCAGCGCACGGTTAAGTTCAGCCAATGTAACGCCCACGGGTCCTCATCCGGCATTGGATGCACTCCAATCGTTTTTGTTTTATATTGTTTGTTGTCAACGTTGTGACCCCCGCCCCTACAGGACATGTGTGTGAAAAGGAGCTTAACAGCTCATCGGAATTTCTCCAGGATAAAATAAAGACCCCTGATTCCGGATCGACAAAGGGCACCGGAGGAGCGAGCCCGCGTACACTTGCACCACGTGGGGGGGGGGGGAAACAACAAAGCCATGTGAACGGCAGCAGCGGTCAGGAGTTGGCCAGGGAACAAAATGCCAGGACACAAAGCAAAGTATGACCAAGATAAGCGGGGGGGATAGGGGGGGGGGCGAAAAGGAAGTGGTAGTGAAAACGGTTGAACAAATATGCCACAGGGAGGAGCAATAATCCAGAAACGCCTTTTTTTGTGTCACCACGGTTCTCTAGGTGAACTTTAGATGCTAAAGTTTAAACAAAGTATAAAGAATAAGGAGAAAAAAAAACTCGAAAGGGAAGCTAAGGGATTTGAAGCACTCCAAGCTCGCCGTTGCGTTATTGCCGCTCACCGCACGGGACACACGTCGTGGTCGATGAATGAGAGGCCTCTATATTTGTTTTCCTTAAAACATTCCACTGTGGCAGCTCTGCGACGTGTTGCCGGGTTGCACCGAGCGTTGGACGAAACCCCCCCCCCCCTCCTCCCCTGTCCGGTACGTGGAGCAAAACGTCGGACATGATGCTCACACAGCCCGAGAACACACGGGAGAGGTATTCGCAGCACAACCGCGAAAAAACATCAGCGGTCGTGGGATCCGTCGAGGTGACGCTTGTTTTTTTTCGTTCGTGGCGCAAAAGGCGACGAGTTACGCAAACCGGACCTTTAGCAGCAGGAAAAGCAAGTTGAAGTTTAACTTTTTTTTTACTGTGACCTGCAACTCAAGAGGCCACTCGGCACACCCAACCCCCCCTCCCTACACTCACAGAGAGAGCACGTGCGGAGGAGGACAGCGGCGGGAGTGGTGGGGGTGGGGATAGCGGAGGAGGTGAGAGGCGGCGGGGGTTGGGGGGGGGTAAAATCCACTCTCCTCCTCCGTTCCTCTCCCAGCCACCCCCTCTCACCATCACCAACCTCCTGCACCGACCTCCACCCCCCCACCACAGCACAAACAGTCCTTCCCAGAAACGGCACGTCGTGTACAGAGGAGGAAAGGGCAATGGCGTCAAGGCCACTTGTCAGATATGGCCGTGAGCCAGGCTGCCGCCACTGCCAAGTCAGGTCTGGGTGGCACGGCAACGAGTTTCTAAGTCCCCGGATTGGACCGCCAAAGAGGGCCCTGTTTGGCGATCGTTGGTCCCAATAAATCGGGAGGTTTTAAAAAAAGTCGCCGGAGCAACGTGGACGTTGCGCCCACCACGACGGGTGGAGTTTGACGTCGCTTATCCGACTCGCCGGGGACCGAGAGGCATTTAGGCGGCAGACACGTGAGCATCTACAGGAAATGACAGTCGCACCGAGCACAAATTGCTCTTATCATGGGAAATTGCCTTATTGTATTTTCTAATTAAACGAATGAGCGTGAGATTAAGAACACACCTCAAAGTCGAGACTGAATTGTAATATTACATGCTATGGGTCATAGCGACTGCATCTATTACATCGTACAATGTAATAATATGAAAGTCAATACCCTTGTCGGCTTCCTCATTCTGTGCCAAGCCCATCTACATCGGTGGAAATCAGCCGAAAGATGGAAATTACACATACATCGAAGCCAGGTTTCCTTGTACGACAAACTATAGCTGGCTATCCCCCCCCCCCCTTCCCGCAATGTGCCTAAGTCTCGTCAAGTAGCGTTCATTTTCAAACTCTGGCGAAACGACCGATGGTTGACCATTACACACGACGTCTGACCATCAGCCATCAGGTCTCACAAGTGCCGCGATGCTGTCCGGGCAGGGCACACGAAATCGGAGAGATGTTGTTCTCTTCTGTTAAAATGGTGAAAGGGCTCGCCTGGGTAAACACGCATCTGCCAAGAAAATATCTACAACGTGTACATGAAGCCATGCCCGTGAGCAAATCATCCGGAATGCGCCCGATCTCACCAGATTCCCGGAAGTAAAGGAGGGCCACGTCTGGATCATGCTTAAGCGGGGGGGGGGGTTGACCATCATGCATAAACCTGATGAGGATTGCGATCGAAACGTCGTGATTTATTTTATTTTATTTCTACCTACGTGACTTTACCCAAAGAACCAAACAGTATAAACTAAACTATTTTTTATTTTACCAGGGAAGGCCAACTGAGCTAGATAGCTCTTTTTCAGAAGCGACCTGGCTACAAATGACAGTCCAATTAAGTGGCTTAGCATGTGGACATTTATAGCAGGCAAATGCTCCAAACGCGTGTTTCTAAATGTGGAGGAAAAAAACCGGAGGAACCGGAGAAAAATCCACATGACCACAGGGAGAGAGAGACATGCAAACTCTAAATAAACAGGCGTCAGGGTCGGATTTGAACCCATGACCTCCTGCCAACCCAGCGAGGTAGTTAACATCTCACCATGGTCGAGGAGATGTTAACGAGCAGGTGCTGTAGAACGCGGGCGGCGTGGTGGACGAGAGGGAGGTGCAGCAACAATCTATTGTTGCACTGTACTTCTACGTTCCCGCTTATCAGCT